TGAAAGACACTTTATATGAGCAAACTATTAATATTACAACAACAAATATAAGTATCATTACTTCGCTAATTAACAATTGCCACAACAAGTCATTGTGTTATTACAGCAACTCAAGCATTTTAAACCCATGTAACCATGCAAAGTATTTTTTTCAGATCTGTGTTTAAGGAGTGGATTGGTGGATTGAGTCAATAATATGCTCTAACAGGAGCACAGCTAAGCACAGAATTTGTAGGCTGTAATTCTTGAGTTTTAATCCCATTGCTGACACTGTCTGCCTTCTTGGCCTCTGGCAAATCTTGAACTCCTTTGCTTCTGGTTTTCTGCCTGTAAAATGGGGCTGGTAACGCTTTACTCCCGACCTCAAAGGGCTGCAGTGAGAAATAATTAGTTGACGTTTGAGACATGCTCTTAAAAATGCTTCTCTAAATTCTTTGAATCTCAGTGTCCTAAAGCTAATCCTCAACGCGTTATTGTCCTCCTTTTGCAGATGGAGAAACTTATGCAAAAAGCGCCTGATTTATCGAATGAAAATGTCACATGCATCCATTTGTTTGCATTGTTGTGGCCATTTAGTCCTGCTGGAACATGGAATTGCTGTCCCAAGCTGGATTAGACTCTGCTTAGCTATAGAGACAGAGAGGGAGAAATATCTTGTGCAGTTATTTTCAAATATACATATACATATACAATGTACAAGACTACTTGTTTTCAATGAAATCCATTACATTTAACTTTTTGGATCAAAAATAAATGCCATTGAGTGGTTTATTTCCAGTCCGCTTGGAAATGCTTTAATTCCTAACTTTTCGTAGCATAAATTATGTTTGTGTGAACAATTTGTACACTACTTACGCCTTCCTTATGGGTGGCTGTGATTGCATCTGGAAATACCAGCCTGTGCCTGTGCATAGCAGAGAGTTTAGAAGTCAGTTTATTCTTAATAAAGCATAATCTCAAAATTGTACCTGTGAATGGTCTACTTTTGACATTTCTAGCCATCAATTTTTTTAATAGAGTATTTGGGCTTCATGTTTCCTGTTTAAAGATTTACTAAACTCTTGTTTCTGCTAATGCATGACAGCATTTATGCAAAGTAGCATTTGAGAATGAAATTTCACTTACGTTTTCTCAACCATCCTCATTAACAGGGTCCCTGTCGCAGGGAAATGGAAGACACCTTAAACCACCTAAAGATCCTAAATATCTTGAGTCCTAGGGGTTTCCATATCCCAAATTGTGACAAGAAGGGGTTCTACAAGAAAAAGCAAGTAAGTACAGTGTCTTGATCATTCTAGTGAATCCATTTTACTTTTTATGCATCTCTGCTGAAGGCGTTACGTAGGATTTCACTGAGGTACTCATTTAATTCCCCTTTTAGGACCAGATCTTATAGCATTGAACCTTGTCAAGTAGGGACAGTGTTTTTATTTGCTGTTAGTCATGACAACAGATTAATTTGTGAAACTTCATACTTAATCACACATGGGTTGGCTGGTGTCCTAGATACTAATGCCCTTCAGTTTTAAAAAAGCAATGCCTCTGCAATAACCCACAGAGCTAAATGTTGCAGTCACCAGATGACTGCAATAGATCAATGCTTTAAATTGCAAATAGCTGCCTGAGAGTTCCTAGAAGAACTGGGCTAGATCATATTACAAAAAGCAACTTGAGAAAGGCATATATCTGTCCCATGTATGCTACACAGATCACTTCCAAAATCCAGGTCACGTTATCATGAAAGCGATACATTTAGTAGTTACTCTGCAGCAAGGGTGACTTTTCAACAGTCTTCAGTTTTCCATTTGCATTTGGCGCTGGGGTTGTGACCTTTCTTAACAAATGTGGACCTAAACGGCAGGTATTCTGGCTTTAGTCGGGTCCAACGCTCTCCAGTCAGTGCAGCCTTTGAAGCTAATTCAGCAACTTGGAGGAGTGCATATTCTACCAGGTCCTTTGCTGAGTGTACACACATTGTATAATCCCATTATTTAGTTAGTGACCTGTCCCCAAGTATATTTCTTGGTGTAAATTCAAGCAATTCCTGAATTCCGAGGATTCTTTAAGATTTTCCTCACAGCGTGCCTCTGTGGGGAGAGATTTTTGTCTGTGGACCATCTTTTGTCTGCCATTTGGGTTTACACAAGTCAGCCCCCTCTGTATCTCAGGTAACCACAGCAGTGACTTAGTCAACGTGCTCTTAGCTACTGCAGTTCATTAGTTGGAGGTAAGAGGCCAACCTCAGACCAGACAACCTCATTTTAGAAAGTGTGTTCCTTCTATGGCTTGGCTTTCAGCTTTCTTAGAAATAGCTTTTCTTTTTTTTTCCCTTGAGCTCTGCAATAAGCAAGCAGGGATGTTCACAACAGGGACTAAGGGTTCCTATAATCCCTTTTTTCCATCAGTCCTGTGGTGAGTGTGCTGTCTGACCTTGGCTACATGCTGCTGAGCTCGTCTGTCCACCCAGGCTTTTCCTGAGCAGGTGGTGATCCTCTTAAGCAGGGAGAAGTTCTTTTCTCGCCTGCAGTTTTGAGTCCCTAATGTCCATTCACGTGCTACTGTATGGAGAGGAGCTGCCAGTGCTGCTCAAGCGCTAGGCTGCATTTGTTTGGAAAATACCATGAAGTCCTATGTGAGCTGCTCTGTGGAGCTAGGCTAGCCCTGTGCTTTGTGGCTGTGCCAAAAATTATTTACTTAGCTACTTTAGAACAGCATATAATTTAATTACATTTAAGACACGTGCAAGCGTATCATAGTCCTTATCCTTCAGGAGGTATTACAGAAGACCACAGATTGATATTTACTTTGTTCAGTTGATATTTCTTTCATCTTTCATTAGAGCTTTGCTTCATCAGCACTAAGGTTGTGATTCGCACACCTCACTGCTGTGTAGATAATAAATTAGATACAAAACAAGCACATGTTCAGGTGCATTATTGTGGAGTGGTAGCTCTGCCATGGAGGTGCTTGTGCACTCCAAAAAAGAAGAAGAGGAAAGGAAATAAGGGTAGTATACTTTCATTCTTGCTCTTCATTCCTAGAAGTTCATTTACCAGAACAAGATGATAGTGTGAAACAAAGTCATGCTTCTGCACTCTGGGTAGTGTTCAAGCTATTTGGAGACTTTGCAAGTGCTTTAGAAAACTTCATGTGCTAAATGTAACAACATATTCAGGCAGCAAGCATAGAAGATGCAGGGGCAATTCATATGTGTTCAGGTGTTCTACCAACGTAACAAGTCTAGTTGTTTAAGTCAGCTCAGGATCTTGTAAGAGAGGCTCCCAACTTGAGCCCATGCATTTTGCCCATAGAAACATCTAGTGCAGCTCTTCGAAAAGAATCAACTTGAAATAGCTTGAATTAACTCTTGATGCAGGCCTTCATATCAGGTAAGGCTTAGGGAATCCACAATGAACAAAAAATAATCTATTTGTTGCCCTTCTAAAATTAACTGCCAGAAAAAAAGCATCAGTTTCAGAAATAAGTGATTCCTGGCTGGATTGGAATCATTGTCTGTGAAACAGTGTAATGATTGCATTCACTTGGTTTTCTTTCTGGAGCTTCAAAATGTGGGTCTGATATTTTGGGAACCGTAAGCAGGTGTCTAATCTGAATGCTAGGCTACTTCATTGATAACCGTAGTTGCTATTATTAGCAGCATTTGATTTATAGTTCAATTATATTCCACTGTGACAACAAAATTCAGAATAATATGTTAGGCAATAGTCAGTAAAGCCAACAAAGAAATGATCATAAAGTAGACATTTTTAATTCTGGAAACATTGACTGCTTTCCCATATCTGCAAAAACTCTGTGGGTGGATGTGCAATTCAGTGCACTGAGATCCTGTACAGAGTGCTGTCATTGGTACGTTAAAGTCTGAGAAAATAGTTAATTCCTTCTTAAAATAGCTTCATTGTCATACGGTAATACTCACAGTACTGTATTGTTGAATGTGTGGATCAGATATTGGAGGTCAGAACCACTGTATTTTCTTCTTGGCTCTTTTTTGGACTTTGTGACCCAGCAAACTGTTTAATGAAGGCAGACACATCTGTTTCCACTCTTAGTCAAACCGCTCCTGGGGTAACACTGGGGTAAGTTGTACAGCGATTTACAAGATAATGGGTCTTCTTGCCTTGATTTAATGTCATATCTCAAAGGAATTGTGATGGGCAAGTTCAAATTAATGCATACTCTTAAATGTTTTAAATTACTTTTTCAAGCACTAATTGCATGTTTTGTGGATGTATGTTCACATGCAGTCCAATGTACTGCGATCTCGATGCAGAACCAGGCAATGCACTGCAGGCCAAAACCTAAAGAGATGTACCTTAAAAGGACTTATAGTGATTATTTAGGTAGATAGGTAATGGGAGGAATCTGACAGATTATGACAACCATGGGGAGCATTAAAGACTCATTCATGAGGCACTTCTCATGTTAGTGTAATCTCCCTTCCTGATCACCTGCTCTTCCAATCAAGCTGAAAGCAGCTGTTTTTCATGGCTTTTGTGGTTGTCTAGAAATTGACTTTTCAGGAACCACCATAGGGAGTAATTTTCATAAGTGAAACAGATTTTAAGAACATAAATTCATCTGTCAAGGTACAGCATGAAAAAATACTCCAGACATTGTGTTTACATCTAAACCTACTTTTTAAATCAGACCCATTAAAATTTAGATTTCTTTATCTTAACAAATCACATATGTAAGGTTGCTCTGTACAACTGTGGTTTATTGGTATATTTACATGAAATGTGTTCATACAGGCACATTTCTGCCTCCAGCATGCCAAAAAAAAAAAAAAAGGTTTTAATGAAATCAGAACGATCTTCGAATTGCCCCATATTCATCTAGTGGAGCCAGATATTCACCTAAATGTGAGTTGGCAATATTCTACTGAAAACAAAAAGTCAGGCTTGACAGGAGCCAAAACAGCCCGAGGTATATGTCAAGGCTGTCTGCAGTCTGTTCCAAGATATCACAATTGTAGCTCCATGGAGACCTCTGCACTGACCAGGAATTAAATGGGATACCATATGCTTTGCTGTGCCTCAAGAATGCTTCTGCCGCCCTTCTTTGCGGAAGGCTGAGGGGCAGGTGGCATAAAGCTGGCAGCTGGTGTTTCTATCAGGAGTAATTATTGGCTCCACTGCTTGGGCAGGGTTCCAGCTCGTTTGGGCTTCTGAAATTGGAACAGAGCTCAGCAGAGCCTTGAAGTTTGTGGAGTGCAAAGTTCAGAAGAGTGCTTTTTTTTTTTTTTAATGTGAATTATCTGTCATTTCAGTAAGCAATGCAAGCTAGCTATCTCAGGATAAAAGATCCTCTCTGGACCATAAGTGCTCGGCTTTTGACAGCATGACTGAGCAGGTAGTATCACAGATTGGGAAAGGTAAATTATATCTCTATTTTCTTTCAGGCAGAATGTTATTTCAGCTGCAAAACTCCAGTCCATATGACCTAAGGGTTTCATTTTCTCAGATGAGCTGTTCGAAAGAAATAAAAAATCGTTAATAGGAGAGAATGTGTTCCCACAGACTAACTTTGTGGTATATTCCCAAAATTGATTAGCTGGCCATAAAAAGCAATCATAATTCTCCACATCATGAGATAATTTTAATTGATCATTTGTTTCGACAGTGATGCAAGCCTGTGAATCAGCGAGAGTTGTGTAATATACTTCATATAGTACTTCTAAAAGGAGAAGATGTGTTACTATTATTAGTATAAGTGTAGTTTCATCGCCCAAGCACCAGGCTGGCAGCCAGAAACCCTGCCTTCTAATTCTGGCTCTGTCTGTGCCTGTGGTCTTGGGAAAAACAGCCCAAGAATTTCTGCCTCAGTTTCCTTATCTGTAAAATTTAGATCATGCAAAGGCTGTTGTTTATGAAGTACCTTGTTTTGCACATGAAGAATTTAAGGCACAAAATGTTAATACCGCTCCATCTAGAATCCAATGCAGTTAAAGAAAAAATGCCAATTGACTTCAGTGAACTTTGAGCCCCCATTCACTGAAATCCTAGAGAACATTTGCCAGACTTACTCAGGCTTGTGAAACAAAATAATAAAACATACATTGATTTCATATGTAAAGGGGAGCTGAACAGATATCTAGAACTCAAATACATCTAACTATGTAGTTTAGCAAAGTATTAATGTAGCTTTTCTCTTGATAGGCTTATACTTCTTGACCCTTTCCCGAAATAAGCCAATATTTACTTTAATCCTGATCTTACAATCCTACTGTCAGAATTGCCATTCATTTGAGTAGGACTAATGAGGAAGGACAGTATATCCAAAGAAGAGAAGGCATTGTATTATTTCTGTGCTAGACTTCCTACTCAGAAATGTAGCACGAAGGCAGTTTTATTACCAGCTGTGGAGATAGAGTTGTGACACACTAAAATAGAAAGAGCAAGATGAGAGCAAACATTACAGAGGCAGAAGAGTCTGCCCAGCAAAATGAGTTATGCACTCAAAAAAGTCTGTGGAAACTTGCAGTCCCATCATAGTGGCAGGTTGAGGAGTTTTCTTTCTAATGTGTTATTCCCATCTCATTTTCACATATTCCTAGTGGTAACAGTCTATGTTAATCTCCGCTGCCACAAATTAATAGACTTGGGGCCAATCTGCTGGCCTGGACAGTCCCAGGAATTGCCCATGTTTACATGCAGTTTCATATATATTACTTTTCCTGAGGTCTTGAACCGGATGTGGAAAGGGGTCAAATGCTTTTGGCAATATGTGAAGTCCAACACTGAACTTGATTTTTCCTAGTGCATCTGCACTTGGTGAAGATATTTTGCTATGTGAGTATATCCATATCACACAGGAGAGCAGGATACTGTGGATGAGGATCTGGAGTATAGAGCTTTTGAGTGGTAATGGCAAAGCTTATCTGAGCCATGACAAACTCACAGCTGGGACCCAGCCCACACTTTGGAATGCCTCAATTGCTGAGAGGGTGATTTCAGAGGTGATGTATGGTTTGAGAATCACAAGGTATATGCATAGACTTCTATTGTCCTTTAAAAAGGCATTTCATGCTACAAGTAAAAGTCTCAAAGTGGAAGAAATATATAAATAGACAGTTTAATCTGGTAGAGCGTTGAAGGACCTAAGTGGCTTCCATTTGTCTAGCCTGTTCTTCCTTCAAGTTGGCAATACAACAAATCCAGCTGGATCCAACTTTGGAAAGCTTGTCCGGACTGAATGGTCTTCTCTGTTAGCATTTGCATTAATTTTTCTATCATAAAAGATCTTTAGTTGCTTAGGTAGAGGCTCTGTCTCTGCCAGGAGGTTGACCATGGCAAACTTAGTAAGATGTCCATCCATGTCATTGCTGAGGACTAGGCTCACCCTTTGCGAGTCTCAGAGGTTCCTGTAGGTTGAACTGGGCCCAGAGGAACATGAAGAATATAACCCGCAAAATGTTATTTCCTTTAGTCTACTCTTTATCACTTTCATCTTCTTGGAGTTTCTTCTTTATTCTTTTATTTACTGCATTATTATTTCTAAAGTTGTTGTCCATTTATTTTCCTGTTTAATGGTAGTTTCAGATTGCTTAGTGTTGTTAGCAAATTCCACTGAGCAACTGACATCTAGAGTTGCCTTAGGTCCTTAGGACCTAATATATAAGTAACATTATTTATAGGAAAATATACATGTAAAGTTCTAATACATACCTAACAGTTGTTGAAGTGATAACTCCATTACAGAAGGATTATGTATCTGTTAATAAATGTCAACTACAGTACTGACATTCCTCCAGCAAGCAGATGCAAGCTAAGGGTGTTTATTGCTGCAAGAGCTGCCTTTGTCAAAACTGTGCTTTAGTGTAGAACAAATCTATGGGCTTTTGTTTCCAAAGAAGGGTTCCAGTCATCAGCTCTTACTGTTGTAAATAGTCTTTGCTCAGCAGAGGACAACTATGTCATCTAATCTAATATGGAGCAGTTCAAAAGATTGCGTTTTTTTGTAGTCTTGGAACAGTTTTATTTTGAGATAATTAGACACAAAGTACTTCAGTGATGGAGAAGGTCACTTTTTATTGTCACGTTCTGTAGTGGAAATAAAGCGAAGTGGAAATTCCAGCAATGCGAGATATGACCAAGATAGAGTAACACAGCTATGAAATGAGCTGTGTGTTGTGACAATATAAAATGGAGAGGAAAAAAATGAACACGATGCTAGCTGGGTCTTATACTCTCTTTCAGTGCCGCCCATCCAAAGGCCGAAAAAGAGGGTATTGCTGGTGTGTGGATAAGTATGGACAGCCACTTCCTGGCTATGATGGGAAGGGCAAAGGAGATGTCCACTGCTATAACTTGGAAAGGAAGTGAAGGGGTAGAGACCGTCTCTTCCGGCGCCTGCGCGTGGCAGTTGGACAACGTACCAGAGACCATGAAGGGGCCGGGTGAGCACTGCAGAATGCATCACACATGGAGCTGTGTGTCCTTCCTCCCGCCTTGCCGAGAGAGCCGCCAAGCCTAGGGACTCTGCAGCTGCACCGCCACTGACATGCTTTGGGCTCCCTATTGCACATGTAGGGGACTCTGACTTCCCACGTAAATCTGCACTATTGATACCCAGAAAGAACAAAAAAAAAAAAAAAAAGGCACTTCAGAATGGATTCAGGGAGTCTCCACTGACTTTTAAAAGAATGGCCTGTGACCAATTTGATCCCAAAAGATACTGTGTTTTATTTTAAAGAATTTATAGATTGTAAGCTTGTAAAAATATTAAAGCAACAGCAACAACAACAAAAAAATCCACAAGGATTTAAAGTTTAAGCTTTTTTACAGGTCTGACGGGAAACTTATCTTCACGGGTAAAATGTTTTATAAAAATCTCAAAAGATCTTTTTAAAGAAATGTATTTCTAAAATAAAGACATGGCTATTTTTTCTGTAAAATATATTATGAATATTCTGTTAGTCTGTATTTAATATAATTGTTTTTTAATAAACTTTATTTAAATGTAACATGTGAATACCAAATATTACACAATAATTTTAGTGTAAACTTATGTATGCAAAGAGAAATTGAGGGGATGGGATGATTTACAAATATATAGAGAATCATATGCATACACAGTGACCTATTCTAAATGATAGAAATGGTGTCAGGAAGTTAAGGAAGTGTTTCCAGAAGAGGTTAAATTTCCTCATTTGAAATAGTTACAACTACCAAGATAAGTTTTTTAAAGTTTTTTTCTCTCCTCTCCCCTCCCCCCCCCCCATTAGTGTTTCTAATGCCCCCATCACTGAATCATGCCACTGGAAAGAATCACAGTTGCACTGGAGCTCTCTCTAAAGCATCCTCCTGCCTGTCGTTTGCTTCAGTTAGTGCAACAGAGCTTAAATTTCCTCTGTTTCCTTCAGAACAGCCCATGCTAGTATAAAATAGTCACGGACAAAAAAAAAAAAGCCATTACAGTATGACTCTTTCTGATTGCCTATTTATTTTTTAAAAGCCTGTATCTAATCTGTGTTGTCTTGATATACTCTACCAAAGCACATATCCTGCATGAGGAATTTCTGTTTAAGTCAATGTCAGCAAGTTGGGGGTTACGGACCTGGTTTTGAGACCTGTGAGCACCTGTGTGCTACATTTTGTACTACTACATGATTGTTGCTTTGACTTTGGTGGAAGGGATTTACCTGCATCCAAGGGCAGAAAAAGAAGCAATGAGTTGAAATATTTAAACCAGTGCTCAGCCATGGCGTTATATGTCCTTTTAATCACAAGAGAAGTGTGTTGGTTTTGTGCTGATATGTGATATTTTCACATCAGGAAGACCTTGGCGCTGATTTGAGGCTGACTGTTTTATTGAACTTGATAACAAATTCTGTATGATGATGGAATTTGGACAAGAAAAGTTGGCCTGTGAAATGTAACATCTTTCTTGGAAAGTAATGCCATATTTTGTATGTGTATTTATTTATATATTTTATATAAATATTTTATATATTTATATAAATATATAATATATTCTTATATGTGTTACTTTAAATGTTTGATGTCGCTGTAGAAGGGTTAGAAAAACAAAAAACACCCATCAGCAGCATGCTTTCCTGGTGGATCAGGAATTCAATGGGAGTTAAGGGCTGTACCCCTCCATGGGGGCCAAGCGCTCGCATGGGGGGACTGGTGTGTAGGGGAGCCACAAAAAGGAAGTCTGGGGGGCTGTGAGCTTGCAGAGGTGGGGGAGGATTTTAACATGTGGTTTGTGAGATTAAGGCCACTGGTCACTGCACCTCAACTCTTTACATTTTGCCTTTAAAAGGTATCTGAAGCATCTTGTGGAATACCCGCAATTTCTATCCGATGTGGTAGGCTGGTGTCCTCATTGAAACTGAAATTTTAAGTCTGGGGAAGAGGAAGGAACGGGGGAAAAGTATATACAAGGTGAAGCATAGTCCAAGCTAATGCAGGCTTCCCAACAGATGGGTGCAGAAAGCTTTGTGAGGTAAAGATTTATTTCAATTTTTCCACTGCTATCGCGAGTGAAATGCTTGCAAGGATTTGTTGGCAAAGTTATAAACTATTTCCTCTCAAGCAACATCATACAAGGAAAAAATTATATATAGCAGTATTTGGGCTTGAATTCATTTAAAATCAGTCTGTATTAGTCTGTATCCTAAACTCATGAGTCTTCAGAAGAATAGTATCTCACCAGAATGAGAGGATAGCAGCCTTCGAAGCCACACTCTGTCAGCATGCAAGAAATATTTTAACAGCCCGTGGCAGTACTTCTGATTGGTGTTTTTTTGTTACATTTTTAAGCTTTTTATATTTTGCCCCCACATTAAAATAAATTAATGTAAAAGACACGTTGGCCAGTCAGGTTTCTTGAACAGTATAAAATTCTTTCATCTTCTCAAAGCAGCAGCTTTATTTTCTAAAAAACACCTTTTAAGGAACTCAGAGTAGATTTTGTGATTTGAACGAACAGTTTGTCACCAGAATTAAAAATATATATAATGATTCAGCTACTTTCACGGTGCTAATGAATCCAGCCTTCTATATGTAACATATTAAACATACAGCCACAGGAAGAAAGAAAAAAAAAAAAAAAAGTGTCTCTGGATGGTTGTGCAAGTCAGTTTGGTTATTTTGCTTCTCCTAGATGTTTTTAAAACAAAGACACTGTTAAGACACTGTTACATGCTAGCAAACAAAATATTTCTCACGTGCAATTTAAAGCTTCCACTAACCATTCAGAAATTGCTTGTTCCAGACTTTGCATAAACAGTTACTTGCACTAGTATTGGACATTTCCCATTGTGTACCT